CCTTCCTTCCTTCCTTCCTTCCTTCCTTCCTTCCTTCCTTCCTTCCTTCCTTCCTTCCCCTCCTCCCTCCCTCCCTCCTTCCTTCTTTCCTTCCTTCCTTTTTATTATTTTTTATTTTTTTTATTTTTTGAGACGGAGTCTCGCTCTGTCGCCCAGGCTAGAGTGCAGTGGCCAGATCTCAGCTCACTGCAAGCTCCGCCTCCTGGGTTCACGCCATTCTCCTGCCTCAGCCTCCCGAGCAGCTGGGACTACAGGCGCCCGCCACCTCGCCCAGCTAGTTTTTTTTTTTTTTGTATTTTTTAGTAGAGACGGGGGTTTCACCGTGTTAGCCAGGATGGTCTCGATCTCCTGACCTCGTGATCTGCCCATCTCGGCCTCCCAAAGTGCTGGGATTACAGGCTTGAGCCACTGCGCCCGGCCTCTTTTTATTTTTTGAGACAGGGCTTCGCTCTGTCACCCAGGCTGGAGTGCAGTGGTAGATCATAGCTCACTGCAGCCTCAACTTCCTGGGCTCGAGTGATGCACCTACTGCAGCCTCCCAAGTAACTGGGAATATAGATAACTGCCACCACGCTAAGCTAATTTTTTTTTATTTTTTGTATAGGTGAGGTCTCGCCCTATTGTCCAGGCTAGTCGCAAACTCATGGGCTCAAAGAATACTCCTGCCTCAGTCTCCCAAACTGCTAGGATTACAGGTATGAGCCACCATGCCTGGCCCAAAACCCTACTTTCAAATAGGGTCACATTCTGAGATATTGGGAGTTAGGACTTTAACATATCTTTTGTGGGGGGCACAATTCAACCTACAAAACAAAGATGAAGAGAATTTACTTATCAGAGACTATTACTAAAAGAACCTACTGAAGGATTTCCTTTATCAAGAAGGAAATTAGGCCAGGTGCAGTGGCTCACGCCTGTAATCCCAGCACTTTGGGAGGCTGAGGCAGGTGGGTCACCTGGGGTCAGGAGTTCGAGACCAGCGTGACCAGCATGGTGAAACCCCATCTTTACTAAAAAATACAAAAAGTAGCCAGGTGTGGTGACATGCACCTGTAATCCCAGCTACTCGGGAGGCTGAGGCAGGAAAATTGCTGGAACCCGGGAGGTGGAGGCTGCAGTGAGCTGAGATTGAACCACTGCACTCTAGCTGGGTGACAGAATGAGACTACGTCTCAAAAAAAAAAAAAAAAAAAAAAAGAAAGAAAGAAATTAAACTCATGAGGAAGAAGTAGTATACAAATGTGCAAAGAGAAACAATGACCAAACAAACAGTGCAGAGAAGACTTTTGCCTAAGATCATACTACCCTTAAGTAGTATAATCAGTATTTGTACTCAGGTTGTCTGACAGCTTAGCCCACGCTCTTAACTTTTATAGTCCATACATCTCTATGAGGACTGTTTCAAAAGTCTCATGAGGTAACGTACAGGACAGTATTTCAGACTTTTTTTGAATTTCAATATTCAGTCACTATTTTATTTTGTAATTTTTTTTTGAGACAAGGTCTCATTCTGTCTTTCAGGCTGGAATGAAATGGCACAATTGATCTCCACTCACTGCAGCCTTGGCCTCCAAGCTTCACACAATTCTCCTGCCTCAGCCTCCTGAGTAGCTGGGACTACAGGGGCATGCCACCATGACTGGCTAATCAGTCAGCATTTATTGATCATCTATAATGAGAATCTAAGAAGGTCCCAGAGAATCAAAAGACCAGATCCTTTTTACTCTTTCTCAAATTAGGGAGGAAAGAGGTTTTTGTTTTGTTTTGGTTTGTTTTCCCAGAATAATTTACATCCAGTATCCATTTTGTATTTTTTTTTTTTTTTCCCTGTGGGGCACTGTGATAGATGTTATAGGTACCAGTAGTGGAAGAACCATTATTCCATAGTTCTTGATTTCAAGGAGCTTACAGTCTAATAAAAATGTTTTCTAAAAAAAGGTAGAAAGTGTTATATGCCTTGAGAGAGAAACAGATGTTGTGAGGGGAGTTCAGAGGAGAGATATCTTTGCTCTGTGTGATGGGGGATGTAGTGCCCATTTGCTGAACTTTGAAAGACAAACAGGGCCGGGCGCGGTGGCTCAAGCCTGTAATCCCAGCACTTTGGGAGGCCGAGAAGGGCGGATCAGGAGGTCAAGAGATCAAGGCCATCCTGGCTAACACGGTAAAACCCCGTCTCTACTAAAAAAATACAAAAAACTAGCCGGGCGAGGTGGAGGGCGCCTGTAGTCCCAGCTACTCGGGAGGCTGCGGCAGGAGAATGGCGTAAACCCGGGAGGCAGAGCTTGCAGTGAGCTGAGATCCGGCCACTGCGCTCCAGCCTGGGCGACAGAGCAAGACTCCGTCTCAAAAAAAAAAAAAAAAAAAAAAAAAGACAGGACGACAATTAACTACACCAATGATTTATTGAGTATCTACTTGTGTGCATGGAGCTATGTTTGGAGCTTTTTATCCTGATCTCATTTATTTCTCACAATAACCCTGTTAGGTCAATATTGTCATTTTCAAATTAAACACGAGAAGATTGAAGCTCGTTAAAAATAGGTGGCAGATCCTGGACGCGATGGCTTGCCTGTAATCCCAGCCCTTTGGGAGGCCGAGGCAGGCGGATCACTTGAGGCCAGGAGTTGGAGATCAGCCTGGGCAACATGACGAAACCCCGTCTCTACCAAAACTACAAAAATTAGCCGGACACGGTGGCAGGCGCCTGTAATCCCAGCTACTCGGGAGGCTGACGCAGGAGAATCACTTGATCCCGGGAGGCAGAGGTTGCAGTGAGCCGAGATCGTGCCACTGCATTCCAGCCTGGGTGACAGAGCGAGACCCTGGCTAAAAAATAAAATAAAATAAAAAAATAAAGGGCCGGGCGCGGTGGCTCAAGCCTGCAATCACAGCACTACAGCACTTTGGGCGACCAAGGCGAGCGGATTGTTTGAGCTCAGGAGTTTGAGACTAGCTTGGGCAACAAGGTGAAAACCTGTCTCTACGAAAAATCCAAAAATTAGCTGGGTGTGGGTGGCGCGTGCCTGCAGTCCCAGCTACTCAGGAGGCTGAGGTGGGAGGATTGCTTGAGCACGGGAGGTAGAGGCTGGAGTGAGCGGTGATTGCACCACTGCACTCTAGCCTGGGTGACAAAGCAAGATCCTGTCTCAAAAAACAAACAAACAAGCAAACGTATCAAAAAACAAAACAAAAAACCAAAACCACAAAATATCCAAGTGACTTGCTCAAAGTCACACAATTAGTAAATGGAACCAGACATAAGCTAAAGGTAGACCAAGCCTTGAATCTGGATCAGGCTGGTTCCAAATTCCCTGCCCTTTCATCTCCCTAAGAGTTTGTTTTGTTTCTCTCTTTCTCTTTCTTTTTCTTTCTTTCTTTCACTCTCTTTTTTTTAAAAAAATAAAATAAATTTCCTAATTGTTTATGTAGCACTTTCTCTTAGCATAACAGTTTTTAGAGTAGGTAAACATTTTTTTTTTTTTCCATTTCCAAAAGTCAATTATTATCTATTCTTCTGGTTCAAATGCCAGGTCCTTTTATGGCAGAGATTCTCAAAAAAGTGATCCGCAGAGGAGTTGCACCATTAGCTCACTGGGATAGTTTGCAAAAGTGCAAATTTCCAGACCCCATTCTCAAAGATTCTGAGTAAGTTTGAGATGAGACCCAGAGAACCTGCATTTTTTTTTTTTTTTTTTAAACAAACGTATTCAGCCTCTCTTGAGAACCACTGTGCCTAGAAAGTCTTTGGGAAGCTTTTGGAAGTAGTAAGTTCGTCTTGGAAAGAACACTCCAGACAAGCTTTCCGGTAGTCTTTCCCAAACTGTCATGCCTGAGGTTCTGGACTTATTCTTACTGATCCCTGACAGCACAGCGACTAGCTGAAGGACTCTGATCGACTGATGAGGGTTTGACCTCATCCACATACATCCCAGTTTAGCAGCATATACTAAGCTAGTTGGCAAACTGCTTAACGCCACATGGGAAATCTGCGCGTTGGGCTATGTCTGGAAGATGTGGAGGAGCAAGCCAGACCTGACCGGTCAGATAGTGAAGACACTGAATCCGAAACCCAAATATTTCAGGGGTCAATTCTCATAGAAAGGTAGGAAGCCCGGTTAGTCCAACTCATGCGCAGGCGCAGAAAAAGGACGGATGCACAAAGTAAGGCGCGCCCTTCCCCCACCCTCTTTCAGGCCAACTCCCACTGCGCAGGCGCATACAGTGCACCAACATGGCCGCCCCCGTGGATCTTGAGTTGAAGAAGGTAAAAGAGGGTCTTGGGCAGGCGGAGGCCTTCTCTTTGGAGGCTGAGGGGACTATAGGCAAGAATATCGAGTGAGGGACGAACCTTGCATAAGGAAGGAGGGTCCAGTGGGCTAGGGAATGGTTTCCCAGAGTCCTAAGGCCGCACTGCGTCTCCGTAAACTGGGGTGGGAGGCGAGCGGCTCTTGCTGGGTAGGAGCCGGTTTGGGTGAGGTCAGTCTGCGGGCCTATCTCGGGCCTGTGCAGTCTTTCTGAGCTCTAGAGAGCTTTCGTTGCGTTTGGAGGCTTCAGGGACTCACTTTCATAGTAAGAACCAAAGAGAGCATTTCAAATGGGGGTGCCTTCGGACCCCTTGCCTGAGTTGTGGCATCCGTAATTCTGGCTTATTTGCTTTGAAAAACTCCAGGTCCAACCTTTGTTTTTAGGCCGTTTATTCGGTTCTATACCTTGAAAGGTTGCAGTATCTACAGTTCGGAAAACCAGGCATTGTAACAGCAATGTTCATTTCAGGATTTTGGCCCTCCCCCCCTTCTTTTTAAGGACTTGTCAAAAAAAAAAAGAAAACAAAACAAAACCTTCTTTTGAAGGACTTGTCAAAAAAACAACAAAACCAGTAAAGTTTTCCAAATAAAACCGGTATCAGAAGGAATTGGGTTTCTTGCTTTCCTCAAACAGTTACTTATAATGTGTTGTTACTCATATTTTTGCTGTCTAAGAATGATCAGCATTCTAACACCACTAATGACCCCAAACCAGTATGCTTTGTGCGGTGGGGTGGATTGGAAAGGACCCTAGAATTTTATCTATTTTAAATCTACTTTTCTAGAAAAGGAACCAGTGCTAAAAGAGTCTGTCAGAAGTTGGAACTAGAATCCAGTATTCTCTGTCTTACCTCACACTTTTTTTTTTTTTTGAGATAGAGTCTCGCTAGTGGCGCAGGCTGGAGTGCAGTGGCGCGATCTCGGCTCACTGCAAGCCCCGCCTCCCGGGTTCATGCCATTCTCCTGCTTCAGCCTCCAGAGCAGCTGGGACTACAGGCGCCCGCCACCACGCCCGGCTAATTTTTTGTATTTTTGGTACAGACGGGGTTTCACTGTGTTAGCCAGGATGGTCTCGATCTCCTGACCTCGTGATCTGCCCGCCTCGGCTTCCCAAAGTGCTGGGATTACAGGCGTAAGCCACCGCGCCCGGCTGCCTCACACTTTTTTGACCACTATTTTGGATTCTTCAGATGAGCAACATCTTGGTTAAGACTGTCTCTCTGGTCAACTTGTGCAAAAGAAATAGGACAGCCGAAATAGCTGTTGCTTCTAACAAACGAAGCTTTTGTTATGGTTCTGAGGAGATTATGTGTTTGTGTCTTGCTTTTGTTCTTGTCTTGAATCTTGTAAATTTAGCTCTTAGGTGGAATTCTCTCATCTTTAACAGTGTACTAGCTCATCTTTAACGGTATACTAGCTTCCTTAGCAAGCTGTACAGAGAAGTCAGATAATACCTGAAATTTTACATTTCAAAACAAAATTGTGCATTCTAAAAATTTACCTTTTTTTTTTTTTTTTTTTTTTTTTGAGACGGAGTCTGGCTCTGTCGCCCAGGGTGGAGTGCAGTGGCCGGATCTCAGCTCACTGCAAGCTCCGCCTCCCGGGTTTACGCCATTCTCCTGCCTCAGCCTCCCGAGTAGCTGGGACTACAGGCGCCGCCACCACGCCCGGCTAGTTTTTTGTATTTTTTAGTAGAGACGGGGTTTCACCGTGTTAGCCAGGATGGTCTCGATCTCCTGACCTCGTGATCCGCCCGTCTCGGCCTCCCAAAGTGCTGGGATTACAGGTTTGAGCCACCGCGCCCGGCCAAAATTTACCTTTTTTTTAATTAAAAGTACCGATTTAAATCAGGGTTTAGTGAATGGATTTTCCTCCTGGTACTTTTGAATTTGTTGCTACATTTGAAAAATGTGGACAGTGAATGCAAACTAAGAAAATGATTACAAACTTAAACTGAATAATTTTGATAAATGATTAATTTAAAAACTTGTTTAAAGGTTTTATCTTCTAATGTTGTTACAGGGTCCGTTTTTTGGGTGGAGACAAATAGGACATTTCAGGCCCCTCCCCTTCTCCAAAGTAAATGTTTCAAAATCTTACTAGTAGGTGAAAACAAGGTCACAATAAAAATTATGTAGTAAACTTTGCTGTACATTGCAGTCACAGATGTTATTAAGGCACAAATTTGACAGCATGTGAAAGTCATTCCAGGCACTTCAACAAGAGTATCCAAGAACTGTTTATTTTCCAGTTAACTAAGTGTACGCAAGGGTCAAATTTGGCCTGATGCAATTATTTTGCCAGTGCTTTGCATTTTTTCTATCTTTTTTGGTCTTCCTCTTAAAAATGTTCATATTACGAATATTACTATAGACAGTGGAATGGAAAGATTGCTGAACTAAGGGGTTAGAAGAAATGTCTTTAAATACACCTCCCTTTCCCTCTAATAGTTGTTCAAACTTGTGCAAGCCACTTTTATCTCTTAACTCATTTAGTTACTTAATTTGTAAATTGTGGATGATGAAACTGCCAATGCTAACTCATGGCATTATTGAGAGGCATAAATTAGATATTATATTTCCATATTAATATTTCAAACTAATGTGAGAAAGTGCTTTGAAACCTAATTGTGCAATACAAATGTAGTGAGTTACTACTTTTATGGTTCTTGTTTTGAATCTCTGGGTTTCATCCTTGACTATTGCATTTATTTCTTTTACTACTCCTTGAATACTTGCTTCTTAATATGGTTATTATTTAATGTGCATTTGTTTTGCTTCACACTGATTGTATCTTCTGATGATTGTAAATTCAGTATTTAGTATAGTGACTTGATCGTTTACAGTTATGTTGACTTACTGATATTTGGTAAATTTCACAACTTTGTCTCTGGCTAGCATGTTTTGTTTTAATATATTTGGATTTGACATAAATGTTTCCTGTAAAATGTTTAACCTACTAAATCATGGACTTGTTTTTATTAGGCTTTCACAGAGCTTCAAGCCAAAGTTATTGACACTCAACAGAAGGTGAAGCTCGCAGACATACAGATTGAACAGCTAAACAGAACGAAAAAGCATGCACATCTTACAGATACAGAGATCATGACTTTGGTAGATGAGACTAACATGTATGAAGGTGTAGGAAGAATGTAAGTAAAACGTGTCTTTGATGGAGTTATTTTGGGAGTGCTTTTGTCCAAATTAAATAGAATGTGTTCGTCTTAAAACTTGGGTTAGGCCAGGCGTGGTAGTTCATGCCTGTAATCCCGGCACTTTGGGAGGCCATGGTGAGTGGATCACTTGAGGGCAGCTTGGCCAATATGGTGAAACCCTGTGTCTACCACAAATACAAAGATTAGCTGAGCGTAGTGGTACTTGCCTATAGTCTTAACTACTTGGGAGACTGAAGCAGGAGAGTCACTTGAACCCCAGAGGTGTGCCCACTGCACACCAGCCTGGGCAACAGAGCTAGACTCTGTCTCAAACAAAACAAAAAAAACCCTTGGTTTAAAGTATCTTTTTTTTTTTTTTTGAGATGGAGTCTTGCTATATCACCCAGGCTGGAGTGCAATGTCCCGATCTTGGCTCACTGCAACCTCTGTCTCCCAGGTTCAAGCGATTCACTTGCTTCAACCTCCTGAGTAGCTGGGATTACAGGCGCGCCCCACCACATCCAGCTAATTTTTGTATTTTTAGTAGACAGGATTTTACTATATTGGCCAGGATGGTCTCCAACTCCTGACCTCGTGATCTGCCCACCTCAGCCTCCCAAAGTGCTGGATTACAGGTGTGAGCCACCACACCCGGCGGGTTGAAGTATCTTAGAATTAACTTTAAAGATTGTCCAATTAAATGCTTGCTTTTTCTAAAATGAGGAGCTGAACTTCAGGTACATTAATTAAAATGTTTAATTTTAGACTTCAAAGTCCTTTTTTTTTTTTTTTTTTTTTTGAGATAGAGTCTCGCTCTGTTGCCAGGCTGGAGTGCAGTGGTGTGATCCCGGCTCACTGCAACCTCCACCTCCTGGGTTCAAGCAATTCTGCCTCAGCCTCCTGAGTAGCTTGGACTATAGGCGCGTGCTACCACACCCAGCTAATTTTTGTATTTTTAGTAGAAATGGGATTTTACCGTGTTGGCCAGGATGGTCTTAATCTCTTGACCTCTTGATCCACCCGCCTTGGCCTCCCAAAGTGCTGGGATTACAGGCGTGAGCCACCGTCCCTGGCCTTGAAGTACATTTCTTAAGTGCTTACTTTCCTGTTCTGTCTATAATTATGTACTTAAGTGTGTAAGTTCAGTAATAAAAATGATTTATCATGGAAAATGTTTATAGCAATATTATATTGTATGTGAAGAGGATTTATTTAAGTAGGTGCAGTTTTAACCTCCTCTTCCCTACTTAATTTATTAGGAGTGATACAAATCATAAATCTTTCTGATATCTGATCAGTGTTATAAAATAAAAATAAAGATTCAATTGTCATTTAAATACACTCATTCTGGCCAGGCGTGGTGGCTCATGCCTATAATCTCAGCACTTTGGGAGGTCGAGGTGGGTGGATCCCCTGAGGTTAGGGGTTTGAGACCAGCCTGGCCAACATGGGGAAACCCCATCTCTACTAAAAATATAAAAATTAGCGAGGCGTGGTGGCGCACACCTGTAATCACAGTTACTCATGAGGCTGAGGCAGGAGAACTGCTCGAAACTGGGAGGTGGAGGTTGCAGTGAGCCGAGATTGCGCCATTGCACTCCAGCCTGGGCAACAAGAGTGAAACTCTGCCTCAAAAAAAAAAAAAAAAAAAAAATACACTCACTCTAAGTGTCCTGCGTTGTTCTAGTAGGAGGACAACTCACATGTGAGAAATCTAGTAAATTATTTTACTTTTGTTTGTTCTAATTAATACACAATTAACTTCGTACATTTCACTTTTTTTCCTTTTAAAAGCATATTACCCTTGTGAGAGAGAACAGGTCTACTTCCTATTCTTTAAGCAGAAAAGAAGGAATGGAAAAGCCTTTAAGTACAGGTCACATTCCACTACAGTGAGCTAAAAGGAGAAGACAGATTTTTTTTTTAAGTTGGGGGGAGGTACAGGAGGAGGGTTTTTCTGGAATTTGGTCTTTGAGTATTACTTAGTAAGTAGACCATTACTTCAGGTTTGGAGATCTTTTAGTTAGAATGGAATTTGACCTCAGTCATGGGATGACTTGTTTTGTGATTGATTTGAAGAAAGAATAACATGTGTAAAATTTAATAATGGCTTTGGAATGACATCATGAGAAGTAGACCCTGCTCATCACTGACTAATCCATATCTTTTTGGTTCAGAATTAGATTATGTTAAATTGTTCATCTGATTTGCTTTCTCAGAATGAATAACATAGCACAAGTAAATTTTATGTCCAAGCTTATTTCATTTTAGTTTAAGAGGATAAGGATCCCAATTTGAGAGTTTGTTACTGGGACACAAAAGAATTGGGATGAGAACAAAGTAGAACCCTTGAATATGTGTCTGTGTAGTATGAAATGCATTGTTGGCATTCACTACAGGATAATTTTATCCTTAATGTGAATATCCTTAGGTCTTAAAACAGTAATGCCAGCTTTATTAACATGTTGTACTTGGATTTCACCTCACTGCACTAGCCTTTGTTTGCAATAGCTAAATAATTCCCTTTTCAAAATAGAAAAACCGTTTCACTCCCTTTGGGCCTTTGAGCTACAGTGAAGTTTTAATTTTTAATTAGAATAGTTTCATTTATTAAACGTTCTGCAGAAGTGTTAGGAGAGTTGTTTTTTGTACGTATTGTCCAAAGTGCTACAGATAGGTTGTTTTCCATACAAAGAATTTCAGAGTTTAAAGGCTAGGATATGAATTAATTAATGGTAGAATGGTATTACTTCCAGAAGGTTTATTTCATATAAATTATGTTTCTTAAAAGAAGGGTGGAGTTTTAAATGTTTGAATAAAGTTGAGCTTCTACGTGATTTCAGACTTCTGTTTTAAATTTGACTTTTGTGCTGTCTGCATCTCACCAGGAGTATGAGTTTGACCCTGCATTGTAGGGGCATGTAAGGTGAATAGCGTTTGTTGTTTGGCTAGCGTATTAGTGCCCTGAGAGGAAGAAAAGACTTGCTGAGTATTAGTCTGGTCATGAGGATGTTCTCTTTCTTGATGCTAAACCTGAAATATCTATTTCTGAATTTATAGTCTTGAGTAATTTTGGGTATCATTGTGATTCACTTCTTTAATTCTAGTCTTTACCTTAATTTGTTTTTTTCTTTTCCTTTTTGAGTGTTATTTGGGAATTCTGATTAGAATATTACTTTTTCCCGAAGTTTCATTTTAAAACCACAGATAATAAAATCCAAAACTTCATTTTTCTTTTAGAACCTGCGGTGGATTTTCCCATTGCTGAAATTCGGGTCTCATTGCTTCTTGCTTGGACTTTTATGATAGCATCTTAACTGTTCTTTCTTCCTGCCTGCCTTCATTCTGTCTGTCCAAATCCATTCTTCACTTATCTGCCAGAATTAATCACGTTAATATTCTTCATAAAATCCTTTGTTCATCCTCTGTTGTTCACAGGATAAAATCCAAACTTGTTGACCTTGCATTCATGGTTATTCATAATCTGTTCTTAATTTGCCCTTTGCCTCAGGTCCCACCACTTTCTTTTTTCAGGGTTAGGATAGCATGTATATTTCATCTCATGGACCTACCTTCTACTAGTTTGTGTTATGTGTTGAGAAGAATTTTGAGGTGTCAAATGGGTTTTAAACATGCTTTAATTGATTAGTGATGTCAGTTACACAGTGAGGGTAGAAGAGTAGTAGCACATGTACCAGAAATTGTTATCCTACCCTTGCCACATAGGTTTCCTCACACATGTTATGTTTTTGTGCTTTTTTGCTTTTGCTCAGTCTTTGGAGAATAACATTGTGCTTGGCTGGCAATATTCCTTTTTTACTTGTGAAATTCTCATCCTTCAAAACATAGCTCCACTCTTACTTTGCCTCTGAAGATTTTTCCAGCCCCTGGGGCAGACTCATTCACTCTTTCCTTGGTGATAGCAGGGCTTTTGTTCCTACAGCTAGTAAAGCACATTGAGTGTGTAGGTGTGTTTAAATGGGTCAGTCTTCCCAACCAGATTGTCAGCTCTGGGAGACCATATATATATATTATCTTTATTTTCTCATTCTCAGTATAATGTCTGGCACAAAATAGCTGTTAAATGTGTATTGATTTGAATTGAATCTGATTCTTTTTTCTTGCCGAAAATAACTTTTTTCTTTCGGTTTCTTAGAAAAAAAGTATTTTAGAAAGTGTCAGACACTTAAGATTGAGTTTATTATCCTATTTTAATATATGATCCATGTAAGATGAAATTATAAAAGTAACATATTTTGACTAAGGTCAAAAAAATTATATCTGCCCAAAATCACGTCCTCTGATCTGACAGGATTAATTCTTTATTAAATATATTTAGAAGGTTGTCTAATTCTAAATACCAGCCAGTTGAAGAGATACTCAGAACTGAAATACAGAAAACTGAAAGCTTCAAGATTATGCTTGAGGGTAGTATAATCCTTAGAGAATAAAGGCTATTTTATGCATAATAATATCAATATATTTTTATCCATTTTACCTTCCTCATCTTCGCATAGAATGTAAGTCAGAGGTTTTTTTTAGGGTATGTATTTAGTTAAACAAATCATTGCAGGCCCAGATATCTTTCATTTCATAAGTATGGACACATTTTGTAGTGTTAAATACCTCTTATATATGGCTATTTTTGGTTTAAAACAAGGAAAGTCAAGCTACAGGATAAGAGATGATGAATTGCTACATACTGTAAGCTCTGAGTGTTTGTTGCTTAAAGCTATATTCCATCCAGTCTTTTGGCATGTTGCCAGCACATTTTAGTTCTCTTACTTCATATTCTTTAGAGAGGCTGTTATGTAGCCTGATACTACTACCACCAATTTCTGGTTTTGCTACTTAAGCTGTTTGTGAGCTGACCTCACCATACTGCTTTGAGAACTATGATGAAAGTTACAACTGGGGAATGATCTGTCTGAATATTTGGAAGTGTTTGTCTTTGCATCTTTCTAGCATGCAAGGAGGGAATAGACAAATCTCAAATG